TGGGGATGAGATTTTCTACAGCTTCTTCACTTTTTGAACAAGTCACCCTTACAAATTCACCACCAGAAGAACATGCGGCGTCAATTTTTTTACAAATAGGTAAATGAACAAGCAAAACAATTCGTGCGTAACTATGCAACGGTATACCGGATTCAAAGGTGATGCGACTAAAGATGACATGTGTTATGTAAAAGAATCAAAAGAAATCTCAAAATTGAGACAGTATGAAATAAAATTTTGTACGATACACGGCCGTGAAGTGATCATTAAAGCACTCGTTTAGAAATTCCGAACTCGGCTCCTTCGTCGCCTCGTCCGTAAACATCTAAACTCGTACTTTAATAAGCCACTTCCCGGCCTTATAACGTAAATAACTATTTCCGACCCGCGATCAAAACTGAAGTAATTTCTTGGGCAGCGAAGTGTTTTCTCGGATCAAAACCAAATACGTATAATAATCCAAAAACTCTCCCCTTCTATTTTGAATTAAGTAGTTCGCACTTATACAATAGCGGATTGTTAATCCCGACAGCCATATCTAATTGTTTATTGGTTAATGTCTTTTGTGACTACCAATCCCAGATGGTTTAAGAGCCGTTAAACACCTTCTTACGCAACTCAAACCTGCAGATTTTGCAGTTCCCATACCAATAGTTTTATCGTGCCAAGCTCGCAACTGAATATTTATCATTAAAATGATAAAATTCGAGCGGACTTACAATCAATCTGTCGCCTAGGCATCCGGAACCCATAAAATAACAAAGAGATGCTGAAATTGAAATAATACAGAAAATATGGACTGTATTTCCAACAGGGTTTAAAGTTTTATTACTACGACAATTCCACCAAAAATATCATCGATTTTAAAAACAAAATCAACTCGCTAAATTTTGATACTCTGTGAACTCGTATCGGACATAATGACCAAATTAGGTACTTATTTCTATAAAAAATCGAGAAAAAAGCTCTCGTTGTAAGAATATATTTAGCATAATGCTTTCGTGAAAATTTTATTTGAACCTTTACCATTTTTATTATCCTTTACTGAAAATCTCGATGAAAATGATATTCACAAGATCATCAAGGTAGTACACATTGTATGTGGTTTTTTTTGTCAAATTTTTAATAGTTAACAGTATATACAGGGTCACAACATTAGAAGTTACAATGTCGGTTAAATGGGAAAAAACGTGTTTATTTCGGAACCGCGAATGGAATGGTGCTACATAGCGACCAAAAAGCAAAATCGAGTTTTCTTATAGTTTCGTTCGAGGTTTCATTATTACGACAGACATTTTTGTACATTTTCAGGTACAAATCGATGGCGTAGAAGTAACGTTCATATCTAATTATCTATTACAGTTTTTGAGAAATACCGCAAAGTTATAATTGTTTTAATAGAAGCAATGTTTCAGGAGTTCACATATTTGTTTTTAAAATACCAAATTTGATTAAAAAAAATCATGTCCACCTCGATGTTCACCATGCAATCGAATGAACATGAAAAGCCATAGGTATCTTTTTTTCATTATACAGGGTGTTACGAAATTCTCGCCAACGGACAATTAGGACTAGATAAAACTGAATAGAAAAGTTTATTACACTTTTGGGATCAAACAAATACTTTTCAAGGTACGAGGTTGCAAAAAATGAAGAATTATTTTTTATTTTAATTAAGAATTAATAATAAAACGAAATTGATGAACGAATAAATTTAAACTAAATCTGGATTGATGTTTCCTAATTCTGATTGCACGTTGATTACCATTAGCCCAGATTATGTTCATTATGATAATTGTAAATCCAAGCAATACATGCCATATCAGAAATGATAAATATTGCTTTTCAACACGTGCAGCAACATGTTTAGCGGAAAATAGTGAACTTTTGACCAGCTATTACGTTTAAATTTATTAATTCCACAATTTTGTTTTTATTATTGGTTGTAAACGAAGTTGTAAATTAAAATAAAAAATAATTCTTCATTTCTTTCTCGTTTTTTTGCAACCTCGTAATTCGTATCTTGAAAAGTATCGCAAAAGTGTAATAGGGATTTCTTTTTAGTTTTGTCTTCTTTTGTCCATGAGCGCGAATTTCGTAACATCCTGCATATCGAGGATATCAGCTTTTGACAAAAATTTTCTTAGTCTCCCGTGCCCTTTTGCAATTGGCTGAAATAAACTCATAAGCGGTGTTCCAGCCTCCGAAATACTAGAGTAGCAGTCGTCTATACGGATATGAATGTAAATATACTCATGGGCTACTTCTCCTACATTTTGGCATTTTCGAGGGCATTTTGCACATACAATTATTAAAAAAAAACAATTGTTCATACTTGTTAATTGGAGACAGGGATGGAGTAGGTGAACAGTTCAGACCTAGGATGGTCGATTTGTCCTCCCCAACCTCCAGTATTGTGTATGCAAAATGCCGAAGAAATGCAGGAGAAGCATCCCATACCATACGTCTTTCATTCATATCGATTATGTTCGCTGCCCATTAATATACTATTTTGGAAACTTGAACGCCGTTTATGAGTAAGAGAACACGGTTTAAATCATCCAAACAAAATGTCAAAGTATGGCAATACGGGATACCAAGAAAATGTTTTCAAAATCTGATAACTTCCATATTTTAAAAGATATAAAAATCGTAAAGGAGGAGGTTACGTACTTTTTTACGTAGAATTCAACGGCGTAGAAACAATTTCTATATCTTCCCCAGGTTTTGAAGAGCAATAAAAAATTAAAAAGAATTAAAATGTATGGCACTAGTTTTTTCCTTGGAAAAGTAGCAAACGTGTAATCCAAACAAGCTATTAAAAACCGCGCTTCGATATTTTGTTAGATTATTTCTAGGAATGGGACAAAAAGTAACTACGAAAACATGAAAATAATTTCCAGAATTTTCGTTTAATCACTTCAGGTAAACATTTTTAACCTTAGTAAACTGATAACTGTGGGAAGGAAAGCCAGACCATGGTACATATATAAATAAAATTATTATACAAGTAAATACAAGTAAAGAAGATTTAAAGATTGTTATGTATTTGCTACCAGCGTTACATGGTACTCCTAAACAACGACCAATTAGGCGTTTCCGTAACCGGCGGGGGGGGGGGGCACTCTGGCGAAGGTCAGACGCCAGGCCTATCATACTTTGTTTTTGGCTACCTATTTTCTAACGTTTGTGTGTGTATCTTAAATGATCTAGCAATTTCCTTTGTTATTATATTTACGACTCGGCCGGTACTTATTAAAGATGTACACAATTTTGCAAGAAATCTTCCACATATTCTGAAAGGACATCTGTTAATAAGGTACAAGTCTTCAAAGGTTTAAAAATGTGCACGGTGTGATTATATAACCAAGTACTGTACCCGGCGCGTATGAAAATCACGCACCCCCCACTATTAATATTCTATTAATTGTACCTATTAGTACGCCAAGAAGCCGCTTGGCTTCTTCTGCAGACTGTCATCTGTGCATAACCCGCTGTAGACTTCTTAGACTTCTTATGTGCCGGTACCAGAAAGTTAAGTAGGCATGTGTTAACTCACAACAGTTTCAAATATTTAAAATGTGCACAGTGTTATTTGCAACACATCATCGGCATCTCACCTCAAAGGATTTAAATTGTGCACACTGTAATGGCATTATATTGAAATAGCTGTCAATGTACTCGTATGTATATGAGGTTCGTCTCTGCTACTGTCCATATAAACAAAAATGAATGTTTGTCTATCTGTCTGTCTCTTATGCCTGTCTAAACCGTTCACGCCGAGGTTTACCCGATTGCAATGAAACTTTGGGGAATGGATGGACGTAGGCGAGCAAAAGTTTCTGAGTAAAATAATTTCCGAAATTACGGTGAACAGGACAAAACGGGATTTTATGTTTTACGGTCGAAAAGAGATTTAGAACGTAGGTATCTTTGAAGGTGTTTTAAGGTGTACCTACTCCGAAAGAACTTCCCGAAGTTCCCACGGGTACGGATAAAACGAGGTTTCCCAAAGACGATACGAGACTGCTAGTCTAATATAAAAATCGAGTACTATTACTTGTTTTTTTTCTGTATCTTAAAAAATAAGTGAACAAATTGAGCTATTTTTTTAATTGCGCGGTTGCTAAGTTACTATTTAAGATAGGTGGAAACAACTAAGCGCAACCGTAGTTGCTAGGAAACGAAGGCGAAATTTTAAAAACAGTTTCTATATATTTGTACAGATAAACGTTTTTTCCTAAGGGGAAATTGGGACATCCTGTACAGTATACCTTGTCCTCAATCACCCTTGATTTCTCATAAAAATGTAAAATCTTGGTCCTGATCCATATGATTTGGATTGCAATGTCGTGAGAAAAAATGAAGTCGTTTACGACCTTTACATCCGTTTCTAGTGCAAATATATCCTACCTAAAGGCTTAAACTGGTTGGTTGATCGCGACAATTTGTTACGCAATCAACCCCTTATTGGCTGGAAGCGTCGAACTGTAGATTGTGCACAACAGTGTGGAAATTGCAGTTTTATTGAAAACAACAAATACTGTAGGCGTCTACACGTGATGACAACATTCTCTTATATAACAGTTGAATATGAAAGTGTAATTAATTCAATAAAATACTATAGTGATTAATAACGGTTTATATAGCAAATTTCCAATTATTTACACTAGCTTTAAATAACACATTACGTTTACGTGCAGCAATTAAAATAAGCCCGTTAGCTTCACTACACATTTCCAGAAACATTACGACTAACTCATTCGCAGAAGTTGAGTTGACTCAAACCAAATAATTACATGTCGAATAGGTATCTAATTAGGGAACCATTTTAATGTCGCACATTTTTTAAGGTAACCTTCGCGACTATGACCCAAAAGCATTTAATAAATTCTTGCAAAATAAATTAGTAACCTATTCACCTATAATTCAAGGATAAGTATCCAAATTTAGTACTGTTGTCAAAAGTATGGTGTGTATTTGTTTTGAAACTTACTCACCTGTTGAATGTGTCCAATAAAAAATAACAAGAAAAATAAACTGGAAAAGTTAAATAAATTAATTTCACTTTTAGCACCCATCGTATTGTAAATCTAACGTTATTTATATTTGTAATATTAAAAGTAATCAGTGTACTGTCATGTTCCTTTATTAAATTCCAATTGCGAACGGACACTTCAACATTATTCGCGGCAACACACTAAAATACTAATAACGAAAGTAACGTTGGTTCTGCTAATACACTAACGTTGAAGTCTTCAGAAGGTAGTTTTGATAGAAATTTGGTCGCGTCGCGGCTCTTTTACCTATGCAGGTGAGCTCTTGTCTCTGCGTCGAGCGCGGAATTCGATAAATTTAGGCTGCGACTTTTTATTTTCGACTCTGTGACTCGACGTCGTTTTGAGTTCTGCTGTGGATTTTAAACGACTATTGTAATAGTTTATGATAATTAGTTACGACACTCGCACTTTCTATTAAAATGTAAAACGTGTAGGTAATTTATACCAAAGGCTATGGTTGCTGAGCTTGGTAATTAAAAGAATTGGACGGACCATTATCCATAGAATCTAAATAACTGCGTTAAGTGTGGGGTAAACTGCACTTGAAGATTGGTTTCATTGTAATTATAATTACTTCTTTAATTGCCTATTAAAGAAAGACAACTATCGCTATTTGTACGACTAAATAAGAGTGTAAATTAAGTAAATCAAAGTACGCCTACGATTTTTGAGAATCTGAAGTAAATATTTGTACAAAGTACCTACAACGCCGACTGTATTCTACAACTTACATGCATTATGAATCTTTAGCACTGTTCTCCAAATTGATGAATCAATTTCCTGAAATTATTCAAAAATCCATTTCGTGTGTAATAAAAATATGGGATGACGGAGTCATGCTTGTGCCAAGGTAACATACCTGGTAGACTTCCTACTTCTACAATGTGTATAATATAGCGCATTTCTAAGATAAAAACTGTAATTAATTGCCTCCACTTTATCTGTCCTTCCTTCTGAATCGCAACAAGATCTTTAATTTAACTTTGTTCAGCACGTTCTTGACAGGGCCGGCTTTAGGCTTAAGCGGTGTAACCCTCCGCTTACGGCGCAGACAAGAAGGTGCGCAACAATTACCTATACAACATATTGACTGCCAGATCACGGATCTAACATCTACTTATACGTTATAATAATAATAGACAATTATACAGGAGGATAAAAAGATGGTTTCCCTTTATCGTTGTATATAATAAAAAACTTCATTTTATAGTAGAAGCCATATAAATTATAAAACTTTTAAAAATTCTGAATTTAAGTTAGACGTAAAAAATGCCAAGCTAGGATTCTTCTGTCATTTCCATGGAAACAGTATTATTTTCTGTTCTGAACCTCAATTTATTTCGTGCTCCGCTTCCCATTTTTAATAAATTATAAGAATGACAGATGTTATTGGAATGTCAATTATTTGTTTCACTTTATCTACTCTTTCGGTTAAAGAGATTATGTTAACCACTGTTACTGTTAAAAAGAGACTTATACTCATTGAAACCTATTAAAATGTCAGTTTAACATATACTTCCTGTTCGACAACGCGCAAATCATTTCAAAAAATATCTCCATATTTATTGCGCCGTCTGTGATATGCGCACAATCTATGTGCTATGATTTTTGATTTTTGATGATTTTTTGATCTATGATTTTTACTATGTGATTGTTGTTAACAAAATCTATATAAATAAAAACGAATTCCGTAATGTATGTGCGCCCCTAACTTCAAAACGACTGCACTAAATTAGATAGTTATTAGCGCATTTTTTTAAGAATTAAAAAAATGTGCTTTTGTTTGCGTTTTATTTAGTTTTATCCTTCAGTACCACTCTAATGAAATGTCTCAACGAAAGGAATTAATTTCTACCAACCATAGTCCTCCTCCTCAACCTCTTATCGTGATCGGGTATATTCCCTTATACCTCAAGAACGGATTGTAGGAAGAGGGTACTCATAAAGGGCGATTGAGAGGTCTGCAAGAAATATATCCATTGGTGATGTCAAAACAAAAGCTATTTCGGTTTAAAAAAATGCGCTTTATCTGCTCAAGAGTTGTACACAATTTATACTTGTTTTATTGTGTTTGTTATTATCTGGACAATGGATCTGGATTTATAAAAAACATAATTTCCAAAAAAGACGTAAAAAACAATTTTTCTTTTCCTAGATAGATAATAAAACGATTTCCGATAAGCAACGAGTGTACACGCAGATAAGAGTCAAAACGCCACAGTGTTGCGTATTCTAAAAACCGCTCTGAAGGAGCACGAGGGACATCTTTTCTGGTATAACTTTGCATGTACAAAAAACGTAGCTTACGCTTGTTTAGTGTTGGGGTCGTTTCGGTATTCGAGTTTGGCGAACACATAAGTAAAAATTGGGTGGGAAAGAAGGATTCTTAGCCGGGCTTTCGAAGAGAATCTATGTAACTTGTACGTGGCATTTTTAGAATTCGTAACACTTTCACCTGAAAGTGGCAAAACAATATCGTATAATCGATGTATAAGGAAGATTTAATCCACCGCGTATCGTACGTGATATTTTTATCGCAAAAATTGAAGTTACTTGCCATATTACAAAAGAAAACTGTGCCTTCAACGAAATTAAATTCTCTGCGGGTTGCCATTAGAAGTAATACTAATATAAAGTGGGGTATTTATGCAAAAAGGGAACTTCGTTGTGTAGTGGAATTGACCGGCTAGCTGTATTTTTTCTTTCGTGAATATAGTGCGAATGCGATGTCTTCTTAATACGCGAGCGAACATTTTCGTTTAGGTTACATCATTTGATCGCGTAATCGCAAGGTACGATAAAAGACAAATTTATTAATTCAATTTGTGCTCTTGTACGGCGATAAGATTCTGATTGAGACTGCAACTGGTAAGAAGTTCAAAGACATTAATTAGGGCTTTTGTTAGCTGTTGAAGTCCTGCGGAACATTCGTAAATTATTCCAGTGAATTTCGAAAAACATGACGCCCAATTTGTTCTGGATTTGAGAAGTCAACCGCCTCTTAAAATTCACTTTCAACCAGCAGGCGAATTTATCAGGGTATACAAAGGGTCCAATTGTACAAAGCGTTCCACCATCCAATTTTCCGAATTGCCGCTACCTTTCAAAAGGAGAAAATCGACTGGAATCTGGAGAAAATTTCAACGTATCGATAAATGTAAGTTTTTTTAATTAAACTTATGATCAAAGTCAATTTAACATTCCTAAAGCCGTCGACCCACGAGACTTTATCACGTTAGCAAATTGTACATTTTGTATGAATGATAAGCGGACCCAAACAAAAAGTTTTGGTGATTTCTTTCTCATTAATTATGAAATTGAATTTTAAGGTCATTGATACCAGTCTTTTGTGTGGGTTATATTTTCTTAGCATCCAGAGGTGTCTCAATCTTTTGAATAGGAAAATGTACCAGGTGTTAGATTAATTTCAAATACTTAGTAAAAATTTTCGAGTTCCTACAATTACATTTGGAAGGTGATCACGAGATAGGGCTTGAAATTTTAATTGACCTACGTCGATATTTTAAATTGCTGTTTACTTGAATTTTTTGTACCTGTGTAGTAGTATTCTCTTTAGTCATTTTTACCTTTACTTGTTTATATTTTATCTCTGTTTTGTCTCTTTTTAACTAAAATTTTAAATTGTTTATATATATTCTATATCATATTCTGTTTTAGCCACATGGTCTGTCTAGCTTTTATTTATTTGAAATTTTAAACTGTTTTTATTATTCCTTTTATATATATATGCATTGTACTAATTTAATATTTACCATATTTTCTGACGTGTCAAAACCTATTTTTGGTATACGGACAAATAAAGATTGATTGATTGATTGATTGCGAACAATGTAGAGACAAATAAAGTTGGAACGATATTATTTTCATTAATATATTCAAACAATCCAATTTACATGAGCATCGGGTTTTAATTTTCAGATTATAAGTGCCAGAAAGAACCAACTTTCCGCAAGGTAAAAGTAATTAAAAAGTTTACTTTTTACTGAGCTAGCCATGGATTTAATTAATTCATTACAAAAAACTAATTGTTACAGTAAACTTTTTACCAGTGCCGTAGAGAATAAAATTTATTTTCAACAAGAGGGTTTCTAATCCCTATAAATGTAACTAAACCGTTACGTCCATCATAACCTCAGTGCATCAGCAATTAGATTTAGCGCATAATGTGAATGCAGTCACACCATTTCATGACTTGGATAGCTTTTATACCCGATATTTCGAAAAGACGACAAAAAATTACCTACTAAAGTTCTTCTCAACAACCAGCACGTATACGGATATAATAAAAAATACAGCCGTTATGGTGACCTACACAGAATGTATCCGCCATGTTTATTCCAAGTAATGGTGTAATTATGAGTAGAAATTCTGACACGCGTCTGTTGCACAGTAGCGAAATTCACAAGAATCTATTGTACGCTACCCATTCCAAAAAAAAGTTGGTTTCTTGCAATCAATAGTACACACTGTAATAAAAAAGAGAGTTAAAACGGCAATCAAAAACCGAACACAAAGTAAAGCAAGGAATTGTAGTAACCCGGCCGAAATCAGATCGAAAATAGAATTTCGCTAAAACGACTCCATTGCACGTGGACAAACGCTTTAACTAAATGAAACAAGCAATCTCTGCACGTATGGAGCCCATAGGTCTATATACAAGAAAAGCCTCATAAAGTTCCACAGCCGCCTTTGAAAATAAGAGAATTTGTGTGTGTAAAGACCAAGGAAATTCCTTTAGTTTGTATGGGACACATTTTTCACGCAGAAATGTTTCAAGGCGCTTATGGTAGAGGCTCTGCGTGTCAGTATTGATAGAACAGTTGCAAAAGCTGCCACTGACCGCGGTAGTGTCGCCGCCCTCTAAAAGTCCGTAGTTATAGTAGTAGATACCTCGCTCCTTAATTCATTCAAAATTTGAATGATTTATTCTGTAATTTAGCAATTATTACTTACACGATTATCAATATAACATGTACGTATAAAATTTTACTTTGCACGAACTTCCGCGGCGTAGATTAAGGAGAGTGGAGTTAGCTTGTAATCGAGGCTAGAATTTTTTTGAACTGTAGGAGTGCGTGCATGCATCTTTTTAAGAGTGAACGTAGTAAAATCACCTGGTTTTTATTTAGTTTTGATACTAGCCGATCAATATACGCTGCTTCGCTTTCTGTAATTCGTAGAGTGGTTTCCTACCCCTCCCGCTATTCGCGAATTGACCCCATACTTCGCATAGAAGCAAGGAAGGATTTTGAAGCGATTATCACCAACTTAATTTTTTTCAGTTGGACGAAAGGAGGAAGTAAAGCAGCCGGCAAAATTACCGACTGTAGTAAATACTGTGCACCAACTACAAACGGCCCCACCATTTCGTTCAGCAGTTTTCGACAATCTTTCACCTCAAATGTTAATTACCTGAAAAGACGCTTTAGCTCTGGGGATTTGTCCTCAGAGTGTGAGGATGGTGAAGCACCAGTGGATCCTTATGCCAAACAACCGCCAGTTACTTCTCAACCTCAGGTAAGAGTAAAACTTTCCCTAAATTCGTACAATATCAAAAGTTGTATATCGCGTAGCAAACGGTTTCTAAGTTAAACGCGAAGGATAGAAACTTAATAATTAAAGCCGCCGTATTAAATGAAACTTTTCGCAAGAACGAAAATCTGCTACCGTAAGATTTCACTTATCGATTCTCATCACAGAGAATAATTCGGCACGCACCACAATAACTGGAAGTGTCGATAATACTTATCTATGAGTATTAGTAATGCTATCAAATGTCTGCCGAAAGGGAAATGAAAAATGCATTAAGCTTCCAATTAAGGAAGAGAGTTCACTGATCCTAAATCAATAAATTTGTAGCAACATTGGTATTTCTAATTTAGTGCGGATTGGAAATTAAATACCCACTTTGATAACGGTATAAATCTATTGTCATGGTTTCAGAGTTTGTTCATCTCAAACCAAATTCCAAAGAAATTCCATCCAATGAGATTGTATTTATTAGCCTAAGTAAGACGAAAATTATTATTTCCTGTAAAAGTAAGGGTGACTAGTCACCAATCAATAATGATGAATAATCGAGCTAAGGTCTTCAATTATGCATTAGTCATTTAATCAATCTATGAAAACACCGCGCTTATCTCAATCTAAATTCTTCGTAAAAAACCTGAGAAATTTTGATATTTGACAATTCGTATAAGTTTTATCATTTGAGCTTTTACGGATCTCTTCAGAACCTAAACTTAATTTTCTAACTTCATTGGGACAAATCTCAACATTTAGCATCTGAAACTTTCGAAATCGTTTCAGATTTTCACTTTACTTACTTATCTATATGTCGTAGTCTTTTAGTGAAATCCGTCAGTTCACGAAACGCTTAGTCCGAGGCCTAGTCATTTAGTGAAACGCTGAAAATTTGTACGTAATTTCCCTTCCCCTTCTAGATCGATAAGGATACCATTTATCGATTTCCAATGGGAAAGGAATCCAATCGCTTGGCCCTGGAAAGTACACTGTGCCACAGTTTCATATAAATGACTAGGCGTTTCGTGAAATGACGGATTTCACTAAAAGACTACGACTATATACATTTATTGGACGAATATCAAATATTTCAAGGCAGGGTTTGTACGTTCGTTCTTAAATGTGGTGTTCCGTAGGCTACTCTACAAGTCACAGCTCCATGTAGCGCATTCCCACAACTATAAAAAATTCGGTATAGTGGTCATCTTGTCCGCACGTCTCTACAACAGTGTCACTACGCTACTTTTTTCGCAGTTTGGTTCGTTATAGTGTCGTGTCTTACCTAAGTAAGGATTTTTCTGTGCCACTTACGAAAAATATTCTAGAAAACGATTTTATTTTTTCACTCCTCACATTTTAACTATATTTTCATCAAGTCAGTATGATCCGGTCGTCCTGTCGGTAATTATGGAAATACGGGTTGACGTTCTCGGTCACGATATCTTGCTTTATACCTCACTTTACATTCTAACTCGCTAGCAACGAATTTCTAGAGCACTCTCCAAAAATAAAAATCATATCGAGAAAAATTATAATAATAATAATAATAATAATGACATTTATTGAGTTTTAATTAAGTAAGACAATATTTATTTTTCACGGCTTACTCTCTTATGTTCCAAGTGATAAATTGTATCTTTGTTATGAATCACCCTGTATATGACTTCCGATCAGAGTGAAAATATTTTAGGTTTGTAGCCTTAAGGGTTCACCACCATGCCCTAACGGCGAACTTTAAAAATGTACGTTAATAAACCCACAAGGTTCCGTCCACACAGTATTGCTCCACCCACCCTGTATAGATACCCGTGTAGAGGCGGGAAAGAATAATCCTACCCTAGTGGGCACTGCGTGTCGTATGAGGCAACTAATCAACAACACGTGTAACCCTAACGCTAGAGTTTGGAGGGTGAAGGTGGACTGACAAGATCTTGATTTCTTATGGATTAGGACTTATTTCTCGATTGTTATACCAAGAGGTGAACTCGGGGACCACTCGCCAGCTATAGAAAAATTAGGGTCGTTTCTGCCCCCGTTCAAGGTCCAGCACTTCTTAGCCGCCAATAGGGTATTATTAATGGGATGTACGTGACCGTTTTTGTTGAGTTGGATCCGTGTCGTTGTTAGGTCATTACGCAGAGTGGAAACCGCCGAGTTCCTAGATGACAGTGGGTTTTGACTAATTGCTTTTCAAAAGATCAGATTGATCAAAAGAAATGATTCTGATTTGCGAAGCCGACTACTGGACATTTTGGGGCGTATTGTCTTGAAGTTCATGATGTTAGAGTAAGCGTGCGTGGAAAATAGCTAAGGCGATTTCGTATTTAACCGCGAAAGCGTCAGGTGCGTGGCCTGAAATAAGTTAAACCGAAGAGACACTCAACGCGAAGTAACGAAAGCGCGTATTTCAAAAGGGCGACGACAAAAAACTACGCGTAAAACCATGTGTGCATCGTGTTGTGCGGTTAAAAAAGTTAATAAATCGATCGCGGGTAAAAAGTATAACCGGGAAACAAACAAATCAGTTAAAGTCTACGAAATTAAATCAATATCAGTTAATAAAGTTATCGGGGGTGATTTATGGGTTGTAACGTAATTTGCATGAACTTTTTTACCGGAAGCTTTAGTCTTATACTACGCACAAGCAAAAATCTTGAAAACTTAGGGTTGGAAGAGAAGATTACTTTCAACTGGAAAATGGAAGGTCTGGACAAGACGTATCTGACAGTGGTATTAAACCTTCAAATCCGAATATCTCGAAAACGGAATGTCGGAAGCGATAGAAGAGGGTATGAATTGCACGATGCAGTGGTTACATCCCCCCCCCCTCCCCAAATCTGATGCATCCTCTGTTGGGCATAATTTGTCTCAAATCCGCTAGTAGTCCAGTCAAATTAGACGTAAAAATACTAAATGGTTACAAATGGTCCGTTAGAAGATTTTATTTTTCAAACTTGTTTAAATAGTAAAGAGAGAGAAAATCCAAGTTTGCCAATGCGACTGACGTCGCGTCGGGAGAAATTTCTGTGGTCAAAAATCTGCAAAAATTTCTGACTTTTTTCGGTTTTTTTAAAATAACTCGCCAACGGCAATGCTTAGGTAAATTCATCCATTATTAAAACCTGTAGTGTATAAAAGTACCTTCAATTTGATATTTTATTTGGGATAGTTTAGCAGATACGCTAATTTAAAGTTTCGTGTTTATAGTAATTTTTAAAACATTTTTAGCGCATTTTTTATGAATTAAAGAAATGTGGGACAAGTAATTTGTCTCAGATTTTGTATGTACATGCATCTAGTGATGTCATGTCAAAATGGAGATGGGGTTAATACACGTTCTATCCTTCATGATATTCTAATGAAAGGTCTCATCGAAATGAATTGGTTTCTAAAAACTATAACCTTCCTGTGCGACGCCGTTTCGACATCACTAGGTGACCGGCGGGGTAAGGGTATTATCTTCCATGGTATTCTAATTAAAAGGGAAAAAAGTAGCTGTTTTATACCAGCTCCTACCTTTCTTTCTAACCCCTTATCAAAAGGGGGACTTGTTTTATCCTATTCATATGGTAGTCTAATGAATGGACTCAATGAAAAGAATTACCTTTTACCAATCATAGTCTTCCTCCTCGACCCATTATCGTGATCGCTTATAATTACTTATATCTCAAGAGCGGATTGTCTGGAAAGGGTACTCACAAAAGGCGATTGGGACGTCCGGAAGAAATATATCTTTTGGTGATGGCATAATTTATGAGCGAAACGGTTTGTCGAAGGAGAGTACTCACAAAGGCAAAAGGAATCCTCCAAACGAGACATACCTATCTATTGGTGAAGTCCAACCGAATATCTTGAAAACGAAGGCACTATTCTTTTTATTCACGCATTTAGTGGGTGTAACACCACTTCCTCCGTCTGTGGACACGGGAAGATAAAATATTGTGAAGTGTTACACAACAATTTTGCGATGAAGGAAGTGGTCACAGTTTTCAATAAGCCAGACGCCAGTGCTGATGAAATAGCTGAGGCAGGAGTATACCTAATCTATTTGTGTAAATTTATTTTCAAGTCCAGAAACGTAAAACATGGTTTATTTTCAAAAATTTTTATACACTACAGTTTTTAATAATGGATGATTTTACCTAAGCATTGCCGTTGGAAAATTTTGCAGATTTTTGACCACAGAAATTTCTCCCGACGTCAGTCGAATTGGCAAACTTGGATTTTTCTCTCTCTTTACCATTTAAACAAGTCGGAAAAATAAAATCTTCTACCGCACCTATCAATCAGAAAGTACAAATTGACTGGACTATAGGTATTAATCGTCCTATTCATAGCCTGACCTAGGACGTCGACGACGACCGGTTCAATCTATTTCTTTCATAGCAACTTTGCAACTTTGGCTTTCACCAGCACTAGCTGGAATTCACTCACATAACTTCACTCTCAAACAGGTTTCCAGCAAAGTCCAAGAGACAAATTGGCGAAAGGATAGTTTTTGTTTTGTAACCAGTACCAGATAACCCTTTCCCTCGACCTCTGGGAATATGCTCTCATCTTGGTATTTATCAATTAGAGATGCGAACGTATCCGGACGTCTCTTGCTAGTTCTCTCACTAGTCTTAGAGACTTGTTTGTCGGAATCTCTTGGTCGCTAGCCTTACTTCCACTACGTCAAGGGGTGGGGGAAGTTACTTCTTCAATTGGCTCCTCCTGTTGTGATTCCTTGTGATTCGAGAAAGAATATTCAATCGTCTCCTCGAATCTTTCATTGATCCAGTCATTTGTGAGGATTTTCAGTCTAATCCGGTTCCTTTCTATTTTATAAAATCAGCTCTTGATGTCTCACTCGACTGCGTCGCACATCTTTCCCCATTCACGCCTCTTGCCTTGCAAGTGTTGTATGCGACCATTGTCTAGGTCGACGTCAACTCCCCACATAATGTCTGTGAGATCTCATTTGTCCAGTAGACCCCCTTACGTTCTAAATTTCT